TCTTAATTACAAAGCACAATTTCCTTAATAGCTACAAAACTGTAAGTTTGATCTGTGTGGAGATTGGTGACTATTATTATGTAATTAGTGATCATATTAATGGTGCAGTGTATTTAGATATAATTTGCATATGCAAATGAAATTTACCCGATATAAATATGTGGCTCCGCTAATGGCTCTGAGCACTTAAAAACTGAATTACATCAGGAGGCGAGGTCCTGGCCAGCTGTGTGGCACCACTGTGCCCCCAGCCCCTCTCAGCTGCACTGCAGCTGCCGACAGCTGGGCACCGCCTCGTGCGGCACCGCTCTGCACCTCCCTGCACCGCCCTGCTGCGCGCAGTGCTGGGTGCAGGACTGGCGCCTCCTGCAGCAGCAGCTCCTCCCCTCTGTTTTTACAAAAAGCCAGATACATGTCAGCTAAGGGAAATCAAAGCTTGCAGGGCCAGAGCCCCTAACAAAAGGCATTGTGTTCCTTTACTGTGCCCTGGTCCCAACCTGCAGTACTGCAAATGGCTGAGGTGCCAAGAACATGAGTGCTGGAGGAAGCAGTCTGCCCCAAGCAGGATGTTTCTCTCATCAAGGGGGGAAATTTACAGCCACAGCCAGGGAACACTGCAGCCATTGTGGGTGCCTCCTCAGATGCTTTTTGCAACTGTTGACCCCAACCTGAGTTGTGCACGCTGGCATTGCTGTCAGCCTGCTGCGGCCCCACAGGCTCTGCTCCCTTCAGTCAGAGCTGGAGGTGATGGAGCAGTGTCTGTGTTTCCTTCAGAGCACGACCCCGCTGTGCTGCTCAGAGCTGTGTGAGCGCCCCACGCTGTATCAGCTCTGCTCTAATTAATTAAGGGCTGTTGCTTGGGAGCAGCACGTGCTTAGGTGTAAGCTTTGAAGTTCAGTATGTTGCAGAGACTTCAAAGGAGACATTTTATTAAAAAATAATAAAATCAAGAGCTCCCAAACACTCGCGATCCGAAGAGCTTGTTTGAAGTTGCTCCATGCTGGCGATGTGGGGCAGCCGCAGCACCCAGGTACCATTAGCTATTACCATGCAGTGCTTAACCCTCATGTTATTTAAAGAGAGAAAATAATCAAAGCCAGGAGTATTGCTCAAGTGTTTTCAGGGCTTGATCTAGCAGTACAGAACTAATTGTGTTGTGTCGTGAGTTATGCAGGAAATAGAGAAAATCAAGGCTGACAATCAAATTAGCAAAAATGTAAATTTATTCCAGGTCTGTGTTTTGAATCAATGTCATTCAGGATGAACAGAAAAGCTGTGGCTGTTTCCATTGCCAGGACTCCTCTCCGTGGTGAGCCTGACCTTCCTGGGGAGCTCTGGGCAGCTCCAGGCTGCGCTGTGGCCTGAGGTGCCTCGTGCTGGGGACGTTCCCCTGGGCCGCAAACAGAGCTGGAGGTGCTCCTGGAGGAAGGTGGTGAGCTGCTAGGTGCTGCTGTTTCTCCTCTGGGGTTTGGCTGTCACAGTGCTCTGGAGTAGCGGTGCTGCTCCATATGGCACGTGGCACACATGCTGTACTATTCGGGCTGCTATTTACATGGCTGTGTGCAGAAGAACAGAAGTAGGAGGCTTAGCTGTACATCGTGGAGGGAGCAGCTCGCCCTGGAAAGTTCGTGCCCTCCTTCTGTTGCCTTGCAGGCTGCTTTTCTCTGCACTTGTGAACAGCTTTCTTTGGGGCTGAGACCACAGCGTTCCTCAGCTCTCAGTGTCCTGCACAGTTGTGCACATGGGTGCAGGCACTGAGCTGTGCTGCGGTGGCAGTGCATTCAGGGCTGTGTGTTTTCCTGTGGGTTGTGGAAGCGGTTATTGATGTTTAATTTTCAGTGCAATGCAGGAAAGTATTTTGTTATTCAGTTATTTAAATATTTTTAAGATCAGCAAGTGAAAATTCAAGTGTAAAAGACCATGCAGAGAGCAGTGAAAATAGCCAGAGCTACAGAAGCGCATGGAGAGGATGTGAGGAGGGGTCAGAGGGCTGTGCCACGTCCCCGTGGCTGCGCTGTGAGGCACCGGCACTGCCGCAGTGTGCACACCCAGCAGCACGGCACTATTTGTCTGCACCCAGGAGCTAAATATGACAATGTTAGCATTTTTCATTTCCCTGACGTTACCATTAATAAAGCAATGATCCAAAAGAAGCTTTGCTGAGTCTGTTCTTTATGCTTCCATCACTCACGACTAGATAATTTCACACAGGATCGTTTTTAAATTAAATGACGATAAAAGTGCTCCGCTGTCCTGTGTTCACTAGTTCATAGAAGTCTATCAAGTCATTAATGTGTCATGACAAACTGCTAGTTGGATTCGAGAATAATTAATTATTTGCATAAATAACAGGTTGGACTTGGTGCCTTGCACGGAGCGTTGGGCGCTGGGACGGCTGCGGGTGGACGGAGCTCCGCCGCTCGTTGTGCTCCACGGCCTTCGGCAGTGGCTGCTTCAAGAAACCAGCTGATCGTTGGAGATTTCAATGAACAATGATACAGATTTTCATAATCACCATTAATCACCACATATTTTTCAAGATAATTACAGCAATTATTATTTAGATTCCTCTTTATGTGCACATTGTAGAAAAGAACAAGTGCTTATTACGCTGGGTAGTGTAGAGAACTACAGTCTGAAGTTCTTTGTCATCCAGAAACTCATTATGTTAACTGATGCTGTCTGTGAAAGTTCGTCAGCGTGTTTAAATGAGGGTAGCATTGGCAGGTCTGATTATTTAAATCTGGTAGCTTTGCTAAAAATATAGTTATTCTAGAAAGATGAATTACTAATTTGACAACCGCGATTTAGCTGGAGTCTGCAGCAAAGAAGGCGGCATCTATCGTGTGCTCAGAGTGGGTGACGGTGCTCCTCGGGGCACAGGGGGAGTTTCTAAGTCAGCTAACAGCTCGTGCTTACAGCCAGGAGGGGCTGTGGGGCGCGTGGCCCCGCAGTGGGCTGATGGACTTCCCCGGAGTTTGGGCTCAGCACTTCTGGCCGTGGGCTCTTTGGGCACTCTTCTGATTCCAGCAGACGAGCTAATTGCTCATGACCTTCAGGGAGGAGCTGTTTCTCAGAGACATTAAGCGGCGCTGACATTTTTCTTTCTGAGATCCCTGTCTGTTTTTTTCTGGTTTTGAGAGCGGAGCAGGCAGCTCCCTGATCTGTTGCAGATGTTCCACGGAGGGGAGAAGCCATCCGGGCGCAGCGCTGCGGCTCTCAGCAGGCCTTCCCCTCCGCTGCCTGCCCAGCACAGCAGCGCAGGCCGGGCTCTGCCCAGCTGTGGGCACTCTGCAGCGCCAGCCATCACTGCCCCAGCACGGCGTGTGTAAGTGCCGTGAGTTCTGCCTGGCTGTGCAGAGCTGCTGGGCGAGCTGCTGGCCTTCTGCCTTTTCCTTGTAGTGTGATGGGTCTGCCGTGCCAGCTCCTGTGCACACTCCCTGCGCTTTGGGACTGTGCCATTAATAACACGCTTCCATGCATCGTGCCATTTTTAAGTATGATCGTTAGGATAAAGGGCATATACTTAATTACAGGCCTGCTTAATTACAGCTCTGTTGAAGCTCGTTTGTTTGGGAGAGTGCTAATTGTGCTGCTGGGCCCTTGGCACGCCCCGCGTTCAGCTGCTGCTGGCAGGGCGGGCGCAGGGCAGCGCGGCCCATCCTGCAGATCGCCGCACAAACAGCGGCGCGAGCGATCAAAGCAGCTTCTGCGGGGGGAATGGATGCAGATGGTCTTCCAGGTTCAGAACTTTCCAGGGTTTTGTGACGCTGCTTTTCATCTGTTTCCTTTTGTTTCATGAAACACCGTGGCTGCCACATAACACCTTTGATAATGAAATGATCTCAGTGGAGTGGGGTTTTTTTTGTTTTCATTTGGTTTGGTTCTTTAAGTCAAAAATAGTGTGTCAGATGCTAAGTATTCTTAAATGACTCATTAAATCACTAACGTAATAACTCGCTGGTGCTGATGGCAGTTAGGAAACAGCAAGCGGGGAGATGCAGGCTTCAGGGGTGCAGATGCTTTGTGAAAGAAAACCGTATTTGAGGATTACTGGAGGGCATTTCAGGGGTTAAAGTTGGCCTGGTTGAAGTTTTTATTTCCTTGAGAGCTGAAACTTAAAGGTGTAACTGACACAAAGCGTGTGTGTCTGGGGCTGCACTCTGCCTTAGAAATGTGCCCTTTTCAGTCTTGCGTGGAAATTGCTGAGATGCATGCTTCAGAAGTAAGTGGCTCACTTGTACTGACATATCTTGTGGGAGGGTTTCTGTGAAGTTTCCAAGGCAGCGATAACAAGACAGGAACACTGAGCATCACTGCGTTATCAGAGAAGAATATACAAGACATTAAAATAGAAGAAATCCTCTTAATATCATTAAGGTGGTGCTGCAGAGAGTGCCTGGCACAGTGACGTGTCCGTGTGCCTGTCCTCTACTTCACTGATTTCTGTCCCCCAGAGGCCATTTGCGTTTTGTTTCAGCTCTGTTTCTTGCTGCCAAATCTCGAATGATGACAGCCGGGCAAGGGAAGGGGCTGGCAGTAGTTCTGCCCAGGTAGCAGTTCTTACAGCTTTGCATTTGGAAGGTGAAAGTTACCTGAACAGGTGTTTTCCTTTTCCTCTTGCTCAGACACCAAGTTAGCTCAGATGGATCTCTGTGGTAGTGTTAAATAAATACCTGTCCTTTCAGAGTGTTTATTTTGCGTTGCAAACACCATCCCGTTTTGGCATCTGGCCCAAATTGGAACCAAACTTAAAACTGAGACCATGAAATTACACTGAGTAGAGCAAGGAAGGTTGATCGAGCCGCTGACTTTGTAGTTGTGTCTTGAATGGAGAGAAACCGCTGGGAGATTGGAGGGAGAAATGATTGTCAGTAACGTCCATGGAGCATCAGTCCGATGTCACTGCTGTGTACACTTGGTATGTTTTTGTGAGCGTGAAGTTGCACACCAGAAGTGAGCTGGAAAAGTAACATCTCTGCTTGTTTTGTCCCTTACAGCAATGGATGGAGTGCCTTTCATGATCTCGGAGAAGTTTGCGTGCGCTCCTGAAGGGGTGAGTTGTCTTCATTCTCATTCCCATGTCCATAGTTTGTCTGTTCATGGGGAGTGGTCACAAGGCATTGACACAAACTGCCTGCTTCTGGGAGCTGATCTCTGGGAACCCACATCTTGCTGAGCTGTAGGGCAGAAGCAGCCTGGGGCCAGGTCTGCACAGGAGCTGACTTCTCCCAGGAGAGGAAGGTTTAACACCATTAAAATGGGAGTGGCAGCGTGGCTTTGGGCACTGGAAACACCTTTTATTTCTTATTAGAGATTTGAAGAAAGCTGCAAATACTCATGTCTACCACATTTCTATGCCACTGATGCAGCATCGCAGAAGTCAGCCTCACAGGTTCTACTGTGCACCCTGAAGGTCAGGCCAGTGGTAGCAGTGTGATGCCAGGTCAGGCACTGTGCCCACGGCTAGGCCGGGCTCCTTCCTCCCACTGCCTCACCTGAGGGCGATGCCGGGAGCACCACCGCCTTTTCTGCCCTAAAACTAAGTGCAGTTGGCATCACCTGGGCCTTCCAGAGCTGTTGAATCACTGTGAGCACTGGTGGCTGCACATGGAGCTGAGGAGCTGCGGCTGACCCGAGATAGCAGGGTTGCCATGGCTACATTGGAGGAAATCCAATTCCAACGTGAAAATGTGCCATCGTGTTTACCAATTCCAGCCTGGAAAGTTTAGAGAGGTGCTTGAGTCCTAATGACACCACAGCTGGACCTCTGCAGAGCGCCAGGAGCAGGAACAGCGATAGAAAAATGATTCTAGTGGTCCTGCTGCCCTCTGGCTTGAGAGATTATTTAAGTCAGGGCATCTGTGGCGCAGCAGCAGAGCAGAGAGGTCCCCACACACAGCACGGCGGCACAGCCAGGGCATCCCCACGCACAGCACACTTGGGCCCTGCGGGAGCTGCTCAGCATCGCATCCTGCAGCTCACAGCAGTCCCACAGCACTGACCGGAGTTGGTGGGCTGGAACTCAGAAGCCCTGAGAGCCTAATGCAACCCATTACCAGTTCTTTAATCCATCTAATCACTAAAACAGTATCTCTTTTAAAGTCAATTTATGAGAATCTGTTACAGCAAATTTATGAGAATCTGTTACAGCAAAAAACGTCAGCTGTGTCTGATTTTTCCCACCATGCTCCTGCTTCGTACATCCTTTTTCTCGCTGACACAACCTGTGTGTGCAGCCGGATGCAGTTTTTCACATCCACTGCTCTCTGCAAGGGTTGTTTATGGGCCGTTATTCCCGGAAAGCTGGGTCCCCTGTTGCAAGGACAAGCGCAGAGAGATTAGGCTGTGCTAATCCTCCCCTCAGATCCTTTAGACACCATTGCCACCATATGGTCACTTCGGTCACTTTGTTTCCCCGCCCGTGCCACTCACACCTGTGTGCTGCGGCCAAACAAAGCCTGTGGGCAGTGCGGGGCATGTGCTGAGGGCAGCGAGGAGGCCCTATCTGAAGTGATGCAGTAATGGGTGTCAGCTGTCCCCGCTTAGGGAGAAAGGCATTAGAGCTGCTATCCCTAAACCAGCTTCTGCTTCTTCACTCTTGTGGTGCACCAAGAAATAGGATTATGCATGCGTTTACAGATGGTGCCTCTAAATCTCTGGTGATAGAATCTTTGCTGACTTTAAACAAAATGAAAACAAAACAATAGAAAAAAACCCCAACAAACTAAATTGGACATTTGTTTGTTTTTTTCCCCACAGATGCAGCCAGTTGATCTCTTGGGCATCACAATCAAAAGCCTTGCAGAAATTGAAAAGGAGGTAGGTACCCAGTCATACACTGAGCAAAAGCTGTATGAGATCTGTGCTTATTTGGTTGTAAGATCCTCTGCCCTGTGGTAAAGCTCTCATCTTTCCCAACTCACTGTTTGTGGATGAAGTCAGTTTTGAGTCAAATAGTTAATATGGAATTAGAAACATCTGTAATTTGTGCCTACTGAATCTTCAGGTATTGAATCCAGTGGCAAAGTCTGCTGCCCTTCAGTTAGTTCCAGATGCCTCTCTTATTTAATCTTTCTTATCATCAGAATGCATTGCCTTTGTGCCTCCTTGCTCTCAAACACCTCTGTTGTGCACACCGTCAGGGTTAAAGGCTGTGCTGGGAGACTGTGAGCACTGGGGCTGGCACCTGCTGGCTTTCCTCACACCCTCCTGATCCATTGCAGGCTATGTATTTTTCAGAGTAATGAAAAGTCTAATTATGCAGCCCATATTCCTTGATGAAGTATCTTGTCTGCACATAGATAGCTGCAAATATAAATATTGCGAATTTCTGCATGACTTTATTTCCCTTGCAAGCAATAGCACCATTAAAGCCAATCTTCTGGATTTCCAAAGCAGCAAGAATGTTTTCCCTGGAGCTAGATGCCTTGCAAAAAGTATTCCCAGAGAATTCCAAGAGTTATTGTTCTCTGTCGCCACATTTGCAGATGTATGCACCCATCCTCCAAGCTGCACAGTGAGCCCAATGAAAGGACCCCACCCTCTCAGGAGAATCAGGGAAAAGAGGTGCCTTCTGCACCCTCAGGCTGTGTCTGGAGCCAGCCTCTCGCTGCACCAGGCCCAGGACCTGCACGGCTGTGTGCTGGGAGTGTGTGAGCAAATGATGAAACCCAGTGAGAGCAGAGGGTGAAGACGCTTGGTTTTAAGATGAGGGCGCAGTTGGCCTGTGCCCAGTTCAGTGCATGTATGGCAGTGAGGAGCAGAAGCCCCGCAGCACTGCTGCCGTCTCCTTGCAGAACTGCAGCGAGTTGCGCTGCTGGTCCTCGTGTCCCAGGCAGGGAAACTTCCTGTGTGAGCGCCAGGCGGGCTGCACGTGGTGCAGCGGTGCAGCAGCAGGGCTGTGCTGTGTGCGGCTCCGGCAGGTTGGGCTGCGTGGGCCTGTGCTGCTCGGGCTGCTGCAGGCCTCTGCTCTCCAAGTGAGGCGTCCTCGTTAGCTCAGCATTGAGCTGAAAGTCTGGAGTCTAATTAGTGAAGTGTGCATCTAATATTAATCATTCTTTTTAAACTGACAAGGAGGGCTGCCCGTTTAACCACTTAATGGCTTCAAGTTTTCTTAGGCTGCTTTTTGCAAATATATTTAATGAAGAAGTTGTAAATCTGAAGGAGCTTAAAATTTTAATTTTATACAGAAATATTTTTCCTTGTTCTCATGTTTGTAGTCAATTCTCCAGAGTGCAGTCACATGAAATGTTCTTTAAATGAACATATTTGCTAACTGGCATGATTTCAGTTTTTAAAACATCGGTTCCAGCAATTAGGCATTTTTTTCAGTTCCCAAATGACTAGAGAAATTCGTCTTGATTATAATTGCTCTTAGCCACGCATATCTAATTTGTGTCTTTTTAAGTGTTAATTAGTAAACAGTTTGAGCTGACATCTTTATGTGTTTGTGTGTTGAAAAATGAGGCTTATTGCTTCTGTAGCTCGGGGTGGTGCTGCTGGCTGCGACATCGTGACATTGAGGTGCAATTAATGAAGACATGCCTGCCAATTAAAAGGCGGTCTGGAAGCGCGGCTCGCTGACACGCCGCCCCGCAGCTGGCAGCGCTCGGTGCCGCGCGGACAAAATGGAAGCTGCGCGCGGTGCCGCGGTTGCCGTGGCAGCGCCAACTCCCGTCGCGCCGCGCGTGCACCGTGACGCGGAGGAGGCCGGGAGGCGACTGCAGCGCAGCCCGGGAGCGGTCGCCGAGCACCCCCTAGTGCCCAGCGCCTCCGTGCACCGCGCGACTCGGCTCCCGCTCCGCCCGCAGACGAGGCCGGCGCTCGGGGTCCCGGTGCGGCTCTCGCTCGGCCCCGCCCGGCGCTGTGCCGCGGTGCCGCCGTGCGGCGGGGCGGGCGGGGGGCGTGCCCGGACTGACCGCCGCCAGGTGGCGCTGTGGCGGCGGCGGCGGCCCCGCGCCTCGGAGCTCGGCGGTGCTGCCCGGGGTGAGCGGTCCGGGTTGGCCGAGACCTGCGGGCTCAGGGGCTTCCGCCCAGGTTGCCGAACCGACGGTTGTAATTACGGCAGTACGGCTTGTGTAACCGGGCGTGCGGCGGGGACTCGTCCTGCCCCGCTGCCCGGTGTGGAGGGCGGCGCAGCGGGCGTGCCGGGTTAACGTGGGACTGCTGGAGAGGGGTGATTCTCCGGAGTGCCCCCCGCCCCGCCTCCCGCTCGGGTCGCTCCCCCTGGGGCCACGCCGGGGAGCCCGCAGTCGGGTGTCCCACGGCGCCTCTGTCTCGCTTTCCCGCAGTACGACTACAGCTTCAGGACGGAGCAGAGCGCGGCAGCCCGCCTGCCGCCCAGCCCCACGCGCTGCCCGCCGGTCCCGCCGTCCTGAGCGCCGGCGCCGGAGCGGCCGCGTGCAGCACTACTGAGCGGGACGCGGCTCCGGGCCCCGCGGCCCCGCCGCTCCGGCCTCGCCCCGCCCCGCACCGCCTCCGTACGCCCCGCTCCGCGCGTCAGACCTCGCGACCCTTCGGCAGCTGCTGCAGACGCGTCTCCACGTGAGTATGCTGCTCGGAGAGCGACCGGCGGCCTCCCGCCTGCTCCCGTTCCCGTATCCCCTGCTGTAGGACGGTCACAAAACGGCCGACCGTAGCGAAGCGCCGTGCACGGCCAGCTGTGAGCTCGCAGACGATCAGGGACGCTCGGCAGCGAGCCCTGAGAAAGAAAAAGACTCAGCCGTCAGCAGCGGGCCCAGCCCGCGGTGCTCGGTGGTGGCCCCGGACGTGGGGCGCACGGCAGCTCCGCCGCAGCCGCGATCGGCCCAGGCTCAGATCTTCGTTTTGCCACGGCCGTGTGGGGCCGGGGCCTCTCGCTCTGGCCTCGCTACGCCTCCCCTCTCCTCGGCAGCTGGCAAACGGAGGTCGCGCGGAGTCCGGCGCTGCGGTTCCTCTGCTGTGCGCGGCGACCTCGAGTGGCGAACGTCCCGGCTGCCCCCGGCTGGACGCTGGCCGCGGTCCGGGCGGCCCCTGCGCGCCGTGCTGAGCCGCGCCCCGCTGACGGGTGGATGCTGCTGCCCGCCTGCGGCGTGGAGCGGGTGTCTCGTTTTTGCCTCGTAGCTGCTACAAGAGGCGTGCCCGTCCCCTCCGGCACTCTGGAGGGAAGCACTGAACTCTGGCGTAGCGCAGCATGAGAGCTGATGCGTAAAGCTGACCTCAGCCTCCTTGTGAGCTCGCTCCAGAGTTGAATGCATGTCTTGGAAAAGTCTGTTGCTGTAATAAGTTATTGAGAAATGCCTATCTGATCTGTGCTGCTTTTTCAAGTTTCTGCTGTAGAACAAAGCTACATCATGGCAGCAAAATGGCAATTTTTAAGTAAGTGTTAAAATGTACAACTTTTTGTATTGTAAAATAATGATTACCTAACCCCATTGAAATGCAATTGCCATAGTAACAAGTATCAGTATTGCCGCTCTCTGTCTGGGTCACATGTATGCCCTGACCTGCTTTGCACTGCATTTGATGGATCTTGTATTTTCTAGTTGGATGGAATGGTGACTAACGGTAGGTTTTGTACTGTCAGCTTGTATTTTTTATTTGTACATATGTAAAGTATTTCTTGTCCAAAGACTCATTTCTGGTTTTAAGGCACCATATCGTATTGCTGGGATAATGAGCACAAAATACCTTAACGTTCAGGATAGTCTGATTCCAGTTCTTTGCTTCAACTTCTTCCAGTCAGGTAATCATTTTCTAAAACTGCCTCTGTAAAGCAAGGCTGTGTGATTTGAAAGCACAGGCAGATTCAGTTGCAGGTGTGTCATAACTTGGTCAAAAGAATTAAAGCTATTTCATTTGCATCAGCTCTAGAGGTTTGAGTGACCCCCTGGAAGTGCTCATTTACTTGAAGGTTGCAGCACCATTTGTAGTTCTTATTTATCCTGCAGGAAAGCAAAGCCAGACCTCACTGCCAAGCTTCACAAAGGCTGGATTGATGATGCCGACATCGACAAATGAACACACCATGGCAGCCTGGTCATTTGGCTCAGGTTCACTTGAAGTTCAAATCCACTCTATGCTGTAGTAGTGTGCCCATATCATCCATCTTTTGTCGTTCTGTGTTTCTGCTTGTAATTTGTCCTGTAGTTTTCTGCGGCATCCATTCATAGCTTCTCCTGTAGAGCAGTGGGTGCTGCAGGTAGGTGGAAGCTGGCCGCGGCGGTGCATCCTCACGGCTTTGGGGCGGCAGAGCTGCAGATAGCCAGCGTTCCCCATTGCTGGTGGCAGGGGAGCGAGGGCTGCAGAGACAGTGCCAAGCTTGAGGGTCAGCTTTTGCTACCAGGAGATGGGGGCATATCTGGAGGAGCACCTTGCCCACCACCTCACCACATGCCCAGGGCAGCACCGACCGCACAGCGGTGAGGAGCAGCTTTGGGCACTGCCAGGCTCTGATCTGAGGGAGCTCTCCCTGAGGATGTCTCAGGGGAAGCAGGCTTGCAGCGCTGAGTCCCTTCCCATGAGATGTAGCTTAGAGCAGGTGAAACTTGTGCTTTTGTGTAGCTTAGCCTTCTCAAGTAGTAAGTTCAGCTTTTTCCTCAGTGACCTACAAGAAACACTGGATGGCTCAAAATGTTGACAGGACAGGCAGCTGACACAAGCATCTAAGAAATCTTCAGGATATATTTGTATAGTTGGTTCTCCTTCTCTCTTCTCTTTCACTAGCTTAGCAAATCTACTTAAGGGATGTGTCTGCAAATCAATTTGGAAGATAGAATAGTTTGGGTCTTCGCAGTGTTTCTGCACTGTGGCACTGCAAAGATAGCTGTTCCTGAAAGTATGAAAAGTGTGACTGCAGTTCTGTCTGTATGAGCGCAGTAGGGATGTCCTGAGCACTGGAGGCCAGTTGTGCTCTCAGCCATGCTAACCAGTCTAAAAAACTGTTGGCATTTCCAAAGGGAGAGAGCTCAGAGTCTCCCCTTAGAAGCATGGTGAGATACAGCACAGCTTGGCTGGTTTGGTGTGTCATTGTTGTGATCCACTGATTTTCGGAAGCTTTCTTGCTGCACCTCTGCATCCCCAGGCTGTGGGTACCAGATCAGTATTTCCACAGGCAGTTTTTTACTGTTCTGCCACTTTTGTACTCTCAGTGGCTCATTGCAAGGCTGGTCCTTGCATGCTTGCAGCGATACGCTGGAGCCCGCACAAGCATCTCTGCATCTTCCTCCCTGCTGGTCCAACATGCAGTGTGCTAGCACTGCCCAGGGAGTCAGTGTTCAGGCAGCCTGATTCTGATGTTTTCTGGCTGAAGAGAAGCCTTCTGAAGCAGACAGGGAGGGGATTTGTCAGCAGACGGCAACAGAAGTGGATTTGCAGAGCTGTGCCAGATGTGTTCGGCTACCTTGTCTCTTTTTCTAGAACAAAACTAGATACCAGCTAGCTTAATGTTGTGGCTAATGGAGAAATTAGTTTGCTGGATTATCCACCAGATTTGTATCTCTGCAAGAAATAGAAAAGCAGCAGAGGTTTACTTACTGTACAATATACCTTCTGATGTGAATTAGGAGAGGTGTGCTGCCTCCTGGATTTCCCTCAGCAAAGAGCCTGCTGGGGTGACTCGTGGACTATCCAGGACACACAGTGATGTCTAATGTGTTAATTATGGAAAGGCAAGATATTAGTGCAGAAAGTAATGTAGAGCGTGAACTTTGTGATCAGGTGTGGACGGACCTAGCAGGTGTCTTCCTGTGGGAGTGTTTCCTAGCTGTAGTTTGTAGAAATAAGCTTCGTCAGACTTTTCTCCTTCGACTGTCGCTGCGGTTACCCGCTGTTTGTAGGAGAGGGTCCTCTGGGAGCCTCCTGTGCAGTAGGGCGTTGTTGGTGGTCTGGAACCTTGGGTTGTTTGGCGTGGCACCTGGTGGCACCTGGCAGAGCCGCTGCAGCTCTCCTTGCCCCTTTCCCAAGGGCGGCACAAACAGCTGCATAAGATGGAGCCTGCAGCACGTGGTTTACCGGCGTCTTTAGAAGAGATAACATCCTTGCTGTGCTCAGCCCACGGCAGAGCAGCGATGCTGGCTGGGCGAGGGCCTGGCGATGGAGTCCCAGCCCCACGGCCGCCGTGCCCCGCTGCCCTCCTCCCGCAGCGTGCCTGCATCGAGCATCGGCTCGGCGCCGGCCTGGGCCAGCGAGGATCCCGGCGCCGGGGCGGCCGCGCGGGGTCGGTGTTCGCTGTACTGAGCCGTAAAGCCAGCGGCAGTGCTGCAGGTAGGGAGGTGCTGCCTGCTAAGAGAAAGGCTCTGTGAGGGGCCTCTCGCTTCGTTCGGTGCAGGGAACCCAAACGGTTTGGATATTTCGGTCAGTTATTGTAAAATTGTTCCCAAACAGCAACAGTTTTAAACGCCGTCAGACAAAAGGAGGAGAGAAACCTTTTATGCAGTTGGCAAGTGTTGTTTTGAGATGCTATGCATTGTGTTGGGTTATTGAAAACAAATTTACTGTGCATTAACCTAATGAATGTTACTACCTTTTATATTTATTTTAGATGACTCTCCTGTATTTTACAAAGGGAAGTTTCATTGTGTGATAACAGTCTGTACTCTTAATATAATTTGTTAAATAAAATCTGTTATGATTGGTTTATTCTCTGTTTTGTGTATGTGTTAATTTTGGAGCTTAAGAAGCTTACAGTGCCACAACTGCTCACAGGAGCAGAAGCACTCGGCCCTGGGACCAGTCTGCTGGTTTTGGCTCCTCACCACCGCTGCATTGGCCTCTTTGGATCCCAAACCTGGAGTTAGAATGTGTCAGGAAGAATAAACATCAGTCAGTGCTATTCTGAACTCTGCTGCAATGCAGCGGTTTTAACTGTAGCACCTGGAACTATTTTTATTTCTTGGTAAGATTACAGGTTAGTTTGATACAAGTAATGTTTACTTACAGTAAAAACAGTGTTTTCTTTGACTTCAGTGCAGCATTTGATACCACGATACCACGATGAATACTTGTTCAGGAGTTAGAACAGTACAAGGTTAGCATCCTAAGTGAGTAAGAAGCTGGGCTTCTGGCCAGGTGGATGTTTCCAGCAACGTCCTGCAGTGGTGAGTTTTCTCACCTCCCCATCCCATGATTTTGAGGAAGTTGAAGAAAATAGAAAATCATTACTCATAAATGTTCCTGGATGGGAAGGTCTCAGAGAGGAGCAGGTATTGTAGGCTTGAATACAGGGGACTCACAAAGGAGCTTTTCTCTCTGTCCCAGCTGCACATCACCATTTCCTTCTGCTTGGTGCTAACAGGGACTTTCTGAGCGGTTCTGGTGGGACGCAAAGGCTGAAATCAGGTACAGCCTTTCCTGTGCTCTCAAGCTACCTGGGAGAGCAAAGGACACTGCAAGAGATGTGACTGAGTTCAGGCACAGGACATAAACCATAGGAGCAGAGGAGTCACTGGCGGTTGGACCAGGAGCTGTGAGCCTTCTGATGAGCTGCAGAGCTGGCTGCTCCTGGCTGCCCGTGGCTGCAGAGGTGATGGCATGAACCTCATGAAGGTAATTTGCTTTTGTTTGTGTTTGTTTTTATCCTTGTAAACCAATCTGAAATGTCTGCTAAATTCTATGCTGCAAAGTCAAAAATCAGAAGTCAAAATATCTTGACTTCAGCATTTTCTGGAGGGGAAAGGACCATACATGGCAAATACACTGCTGCACAGGCAGCGTTCCAAGTGTGTGTGGCAGCGAGTTCAGTACAATAGATGCAGGCAAAGTTAGTGGAACAACTCATTTATCCTCTATGAAGTGCTCAGGCAGGGCCAGGAGCGGCTGGCATTGCAGCAGTGTGCAGCAGGTGACAGCAGCGTGCAGCCTGAGCACAGCATGCAGCTTGTGGGACTGCGGGGCACCTTGCAACTACAGCCACAGACCCCATCTGCAGTGATCTGATAGCGGGGAGAGCCCTGGGCCTCAGGCAAGGCCTTCTCTTGGAGGGAGCAGTAGCTCTGGGGCTTGGTGCTGGCACAGCATTGTGGTTTGGTGCTGGTGCAGAGATTCTGGTAACTGCGTGGGCTCAGAGCAACCCTGCTGGGCTCAGGGCTCCATGGTCTCATTTTTTACAAATATAAACTGGGATTCTGCAGAAGTAAACAGGGTTTTATAATCAGCTCTGAAATACGGCTGTATTTTAAGAGAGGCAGTTAAGGATGGATGTGTGAGTTACAGGGAAGGTGCCATGCTTTTACGACCCATGCTCTGCTCTGTGTGGCCCTGCTTCGTGCTCTCTTTGTCAAATGCTGCTGCTGGCGAGCGATTTAACAGCAGCGGGGAATGCGACTGGGAAGGCTGCAGCTCCAGTACCACTGTCAGCATGGTCTGCAGGGCAGAGCTGCCTCCGCAGTGGGGTGAAGGCTCAGAGCGAGGCAGGATGGGGACAGGATGATGCCCAGAATGGGGAGGTGCAGGCAGCAGTGCAGGCAGTACACAGCAGGGGCAGGGCTGCTCTGTTGGTTGGGCAGGGGGTCCTGGCCCCATGGATCCCAGCGCAGGTGGTCCTGGCAGCTCTCTCCCTTTTGCAGGCACCCCGGGGGCACAATGGACTTCTCGATGGGGGAGAGGTTCACGTCACACCGTTAGAACTCAAGTTTGTTATTCGTTCTGCTGTTATTTTTCTGAACTTGACTCAGCGGTGGTGCACACTGTGACCTCTGGCATCTTCTCTCACCCCAGCCAATATCCCCATCTCACATACTTTGAGCGCCCTTTGAATTAAAGGAGATTAATTCCCAAGTTCCCGACATGCTCTTCAGGCACATGTTTTTATAACCTCCTAAAGCAAGTGCCCCTGGTTCCGCCAAACTAGCTCAGCCCTAAGCTGCAGGCACTGGGAGCTACTGCTGCCCCCCAGGAGAGCACCCCGCTGCACGCACCCACGGCCTTCCTGCTGGCTGGGGATGCAGCAGGCATAGGCTGGCAGCAGCCGTGGGGTGCGATGTCACAGGCTGCTGGGCTTTGTGCCGCTGTGGCTTTTGTTGTTGTTTGTTTTCTTTGCCTCTTCTCCCTCCTACAGCTTCAAGAATTAACTCGCCCTGGGAATATCTCCAAATCCTTTCCCTTCTTCGAAGTGATGGATAAGCCATGTAACTGATTGCCGTGGCCTCGGAGAGGGTAAACATCTTCTGCAGCTTAAAATGAAACTTTCTCACTCCTCGGTTAATGAGTGTTGAAAGAAGCATAAATAGAAATAACACAGGATTTCCATGACTAACAGGATGACCGCATCAGTGAATGTTGTCGGGGTTAAAAATGACTCAGCTTTTGCTTCCCCAGGGTATGATGTTTTATCCCGCGGCAGGAAGGGCTGCCAGCAGCACTTTGAAGGTCTGGCAGAGCCGCCACGGCTTGGATCGTGAACTGGGAAGTGTTTGAATGCACTGGGAAAAAAAGGAAAGTCCTGAACTCTGCTCCATGTGTGCAGATTTCGCGAAGATAAAGGAGCCCACAGCTTTATCCAGCCATGCTGACTCTTTTCTTTTCCAAAGCCTTTTCAGATGTTTTCACTTTTCTGCTTGCTTTGTTGAAAGATGTAAAAATTTAAGACAACCACAAAGTAAACATTTCAAAACTTTCTATTCTGAAAATTAGCGACATTTTCAAAATCCCCCAAATTCTGTTTCTGCTTGATCCAAAATGAAGATGTTTGGCATTTCTTTGGTTGGCGGCATATTTTTGTTTGTTGATAACCTTTCTTCTATTTTTCCAAGAAAACAGATCAGTTATTCAGTAGAAACACCAGATAAGTCGATGTCTTGTCAAAATAAAGCAGGTTTTCCTTATTAGAGTGAAATAGTAATGAACTCATCTGCTTCCAATATTTATAAAGAGTAGAGAAGCCCATTAATTCTACTGCTTGTGAATAAAACCATCTGTGATTTCTTTCCATTTGATGTGTTTTGGTTTTAATATACATTTTTCACAAATAAGTGTAGGGATTTTTTGTGAAAATGTCACATTCAGAATCTCATAAAGAAGGAACGCAAAGAGGGGGAAACGAAATGTTTTGTTAGCTAAGTAATTTCTCACCTTGTGCAGAGAATAAAATTCATGCCAACTTTAACACATTAGGCGACAGAATTACATGTTCAGCTCTAATGCAATCCGTGACTCGTAACGAGGCAAATAGAGTAAGTTTGGAAGTTTGTTTTCCTTTGGGAATCACACAGTACATCTAACCTAATCTGTCCTGACACTGGAATTATGACACTGTGAGCTTCTTCAGGGGAGCAAAATGGTCGATGCCTCTTTCTAAAGCCACGCAGACATCGATAAAGCGGGCGATGCATCAGGGCAGAGCGGCCGATGGCAGCGCGGGGCTCAGCGCCGTGGGTCCCAGCCTGCAGCTCTCGGGTGCCTCGTGACAAACTTCTACCAGAGCGAAATTTGACCTCTAGAATTATGCTCCATTAAACCAAAACGTGAGAACGCCCCACGTGGGACCGCTTTGTAGTTTGACTTGTGAGTGTTGGATCTTAAATTAAAATGAGTATTCATCCAGCTGCTCTGCCCTGTTTTTTTACAGCCTTCCCCCCAGCCCGTACTGCAGAGGCAGCTCCGTGTCACGGTTTCCAGCAGCTCACCCAGCCCTGCCAGCCGCCCCCATCCCACGGACCCCCGTGGGGCCCTGCAGGGCTCTGCCCGGCCGTGGGACCCTCAGCGCTGCTGCGGTGGCTGTGGGGTGAGCGCGGCGCGACGCAGTGAGGCTGCGCTGCAGAGGGTGCAGCGATCAGAGTGCCTGCGGGCAGCGCTCTGAGCCCCCGGGTGTTACCTCTTCTGCTGCTGAAAAAAGCACATCTCCTTGTTGGCTTTTTCCTCTCCTTTTTTTTTTTTTTCCCAATCATCAATAAAATCTTACTTTGGATAACCTAAAGCTTTTCTTGGAAGGTGAGGCCACAGATCACAGCAGTGCTGGATGCAGCTTCTGCATGGTGCTTTCGGCTGCTCCCAGGGGGACGCGATGCAGCCAACCTGCTGATCCACGCACACAGCGATGTGTGCACTGGCACAGACTGAAGATGCTGTCCCGGCTGCCGTGCACCTCTCGTGCTGTACCTCTCATTGCTGCACTCGCTGCTGCCCGGCCTGCACTGCTCTCTGCTGTTTCCACAGCTGTTGGTTCCTCAATGTGGCAAAGGCCAACCACAGGTAAGAGGAGTGCTTGTCTCTTGGGAGAGTTTTCATACCTACGTGCAGCAGCTGCCACTCTCCTTTGTGTAGTTTGTGCTTTTATTGTTTTTATTGTTTAAATGAAGCTTTCAGCTGCCTGGACTTCAACTTTACCGAAACTCAGTGTACTAATGGAAGGTTCTTGATGTGTTTTATTAGATATCTATCATTCCAGTCTGGATACAGGGACAGCGTTTTGCAGAATGCGCTGCACTGCCAGAACTGCAGCCGCTGCTGGCCGTGGGCGCTTCCTCCCCCCACAGCCCCTCGCTCAGCCCCATCTGTGCAGGGCTGGCTGGGAGCGCCTGGTGAGCGCTGTGTTGCTGCATGCAGCCATCGAGGGCTCTGCTACGTCTGAGCCATGCAGTGCCACCGCCCCCAGCTGTGCTCCTCAGAGGTTGTGCTGGAGGTGGGCACAGTGCCCACAGGGGCGATGAAGCGTGAAGGAAATGGAGGCGGGGGGCTGAGGCACCACGGGGTCACGTTAGGTCATCTTCCAGGGGAGCGCTCCCAGCTCCCAGCAGGAGTGCCGGGAAAGACGTTGCCCAGACAGCAGCCAGGAGCCCCGCGCTGCAACGTGCTGCAGTCCTGTGGCAGCAGCTGTGGGCTCACTTGGGCGGATGGATGGATGGACAGACGCAGTGCTCCCTGCGGGACCTGAGGAAGGCCAGTATAAGGGCTGTGCTCGGTCCAGCTAAGCACTGAGGGCATGGGGATGTTTCCTGTGACTGAGTTGTGCCTGAATTGCTCAAAGGTTTTATGCTCTCTCACAACCCCTGGCAGCTGCAGGCAGGAGCCAGCTGATGGACTCAAAGATCTCAATGCAAACTTTTTTGCCTGTTCTACCTCTGAATTCCATTTTCTGCCCAAATGCCTACTTGTATGAAACTTGTAGGAACTTAATTATCCTTGAGACTTCTGCTTCTCTATGAAATCTGGTTCAAATCAGTTTAAAAAAAAGAGTTCAAAGTCGTTGGGCAGGCTGGGCAGACAGACAAGCACGCAGGGATCACAGGAGCCTTGTTTTTGTAGGAAACGAGATTAAAAAGATCCCACGGCAGCACGGAGCTCCGTCGGTGCGCCCCCGGCAGCGCTGGGTGTGGGGCTCAGCTCGGCACAGCCGCACGGCCGCACTCACACCGGGAGCGTCAGCCTCAGCCCGGCTGCTGCTCCCAGCTGGACGCAGACTCAGAGCATCCCTGCTCTCCCTGCAATGCAGACCTGTACCTAATTTCTTCTGAAAAGGGCCCTGAGGAAGTCAGCAGATGTTATTATTAAAGCACTGAGTATCAGCAGCTCCTGAGATATTGTCAGTTCGTTAATGAGCTGATCAAACTGTGGAAAACAAGGGGTTTCCCAGCCTCCTATTAAGGAAAATAAGACCTCCAAGGTTAAAAGACTTCTTTTAAACTGCACCAGGTTTATTGGTTGCCTAGCACTCTTTAATCAGTTTGTTCTTAGAAGGCCCTTGCTGTCCAGGCACAGGAACGGGCGCTATCCCAGCCGGTCCCCAGAAGGAAACTGAGCCGCTCCGTGCTGGGAGCGTTCGCTGACATTTTGCTTGCCAATATCTTCTTAACCATTCCCTGCAGTTATTGCAAATATTTGGTGAATTCTCTGTGTATCCCTGCCAGCAGCTCTGCCTGCAGACTTCTGCTGATTTGTGAATTACTGTTTCCCCGTTCGAAAGTTAAGCTCATTTGCCTATCAACACATTTGTATTCTGCTTGGCAACCGCTGCATCTCAGAAGTTTCCCAGGGCTGCAGAAGACACAAAATGCGTGAGTGAGAAATGGCCTTGAACCCGAGACTGCCTGTGTCTCTTCTCTGCACCGTCTCACTCCTGAACCATTCCTGTGTTGGGAGATGCACCAGCTCAGCTCAGACAAAAGCAATGGGAAATGGGAGCCCACTCTATTGGGTCTTTTGCTTCATGCTACGTTATCTGGAAACTCCCTTGGGGTTGTTCAACTGCAGGGATATTTAGGATTTAGACAGTGGTGCTGATGAGATTAGAGTAGCTAGGAGTGTAGGAATCAGTAACCATTTGTTACTTCTGTAGTTGAACAGAAGATCACAACTTGCCTTAAAGGCACCTTACCACTACTGCCATGTGAGTCAGGTCCCAGGCCTGGCCAGGAAAACCCTCATCTCGGGCAGCTTATTTGTATCTGAAAAGTAAGTAGGTAAACGGCTATGGAGAAATGATCAGACAAAGAAAATACAGAGAAGGCTCATTTTTATCTCCTCCACCTACTGACTGATGTGAGGAATAAAGAAAGGAAAATAACAAGCATCCAAGCAGGCAGTGTGTGTGCAGCAGTGCCAGTGCGGCCCCGGCCCAGGGAGCAGCTCCACACGGGGCAGCAGCGCACGGCACGGCAGCTCAGTGAGCACCAGGGACGGTTATTTCTGCACAGATGGATTTATGCTGTCAGATAAGCAGTGACTGCTTAAATACGTCTTCTGCTATGCAACACTGAGGACGGGACACACAGATAAATTCACCCTGAAATAGAGGGTATGATTTTGAAGATGGAAAGGATTGTGCGTCTCTGTTGTGTTTCAGTTGGTTATGTCTACGGGCATCTCCTGAGCTGCAGCTCCATGGAACGTTTCTGACATTACCAATCATTTTAATCATAACCTGTGTCATTCACTGAAACTTTACAGGCACCAATAGACAAACAGCCACCAAATTATGCCTCAGCATCCAAGAAATACCACTCCATCCTGCCTGCCCAGCCCTGCGCCTTCCCCTGCTCTGCCCCAGGTGGGCTCCTCTGTGCTGCACAGAGCGGGACCCCCTGGCAGTGCTGGGGAGCAGAGCCTGGAGCCCAGCAGCACTTCTTCAGCCCTCACTCTGAGGTCACTACGGAACCAATGAGCCCCATCTGAATCAGGAGCATTGAGTCTGTGCTGATGGCCAGCAGGTGTCCTTCTGTGTTCTGGATCATTTGTGATGGCTTCAAACTATAACATGTAATAAAGAAGCAAAAAACCTCAAAGAAAACATGGCAAAACAACCCAAAGAGCTGAGCTCCAGGCCTGCTCATGGCAGAGGGCGCTGACGCACGTGCAGGGATTGCTGCCAGCTGTGGTGCCAACACCCACAAGGCCCACCAGGTGCACGTGGCCAGGCTGGGATCTTTAAGTGAAAACTGAAAAAAAAAGCTGTCCTCTGGGTGGGAGGGTGGATAGTTCATTTGCCCTCATCTATTTCAGGTGTGGAGCCAATTAGCAGCCATTTGCAGGATGGCTCTGTTAGGGCTGCTGCTTTTTTCCAAACTGTGAGTATCAGTTCTATTTTTTCATCTTTAGAAGTGACTTTGTAATTAGCCTGGAATTCTTCAGGAAGAGGCAAAGGCTGTGCTGCTTTGGGTTAGATTGTTTTGTTAAATCTCAAAAAAACCTGTTTTTCATTAAAGGAAGTGCGTTGGCTTCTGGGGAAATGGCCGAAGACTTTTCCCCTTCCTGGTGTTCGGAGCATTGTGCGTGTTTGAATTTGATTTTCTTTTCCATTTAAGCATTTGAAGCTTGGCTGCCTTCTTGGTTCTGTGAAGCTTGGAGTGCATTGAGGAGAGAGATGTTTGCTGCAGGCTGTGAGAACCCTGGCTCTATGGGTGCTTAGGAGCTGCCTGCCCAGTAGCTGAGCAGCCCAAGAGTGTTGTGCAAATGGGTACTGGGGGGGGGAAGGTTGTTTTCCTGGGAGATGTTGA